CCTATGCTAATGATTAACTACTCTAATAACAGCGTTCATTTCAATCCGACATTCAAATTAAAATATTGAATAATATTCATAACAGAAGCGGTGTTTCCCACAGACGTGCACTCTATTTGTGGCGGCATATATATGCAAACTCATTCTCTGCCAGCAGGAGGCGCTTGGAGAGCAGGAGAGATCAGGTTTCCCGGTAACGCTGTACACAAAGCAGCGCGCCGCTCACAAACGCTGCTCAGGCATTACAGGCAAGATGAAATGAAAATGACATCCATAATTTTCTGAAGACAGTTGTTTCCTTCAGAAATACAGTGATATAAAAACACCCGCACCGGGTTTCGACTTTGACACGTGCAGTGCTCATGTTTATTCACGAGGGCCGCCTCAAATAAATCAATGTATGGGAAACACAAATATTAAACCTCACACACACACACACACACACACACGTCACATGACCTCTCACACACACACACACACACACACACACATGACCTCTGACTCACCCAGAGCCTGGCGGCGCTCCTGCAGCATCTTGAAATATTCTTTGCGTCTCTGGAGGAAGATCAGAGCCATCAGCTGCTTCATCATCATCATCATCACCTTCATCATCACGCTCTCACCTCTTCTCTGACGCGCTTCTGCTCCTCCTTCAGCTTGCTCTTCATCTCCTCCAGCGCTGCTCTCCTCCGCTCCAGCTTACGCTTGTGGAAACCCGTCAGGAACTCTCTAGACACAAAACCATTGATCCTTTCATAAATAACGCAGAAACTATCACAAATTATATATAAGTGTGTCATTTTCAATGAAATTGTGTAATTTTATTTTATTTTTTGGGGCAGTTTTAGTTAAATTAGTAGTCAAATTGTATGAAAAATGTTCCCTTGGCAACTGGCTAAATACATTATTTAGTTTAGTAAGTTAAATTTATGTTATATATTAAAAAACAAACGGAAAGAAATGGGAAAATAAATATTCTTTTGTAATTGCACATGACTCTTAAGCATGGACGTGTTCTATTATTTCTGTGCATTAGTGTGTATGTGTAATTAAGTATGTGTATACATCAGTGTTGCCGTATATAAACGGATTTACTGAGCCAGTAATTGATGATAATCGTGCTGAATGCATGCCTCTTACTGTCGGTCTTTATCATCGAACATCAGCACGCATTTTCTCTGCTTCTTCTTATGTTTCACGCCGCTGTTGAACTTTGATTTCTGCTTCAATTTGTCGTTTTTCGCCATTTTCCGGAGTTTTAATAAACACGTGTGACACAGCGCAAAACTTCCGCTTCGGTGAGCTGAGCTACCGGAAGTGCCAAAATAAAGGTCCCCCACCGCACACTGAATACAATTAAAGTCCCCTTTTGAGTTCATTTATTTGCTAGTGTATTTTTTAAGAGAATGTACAAGACAAGTGCTGTAATTGCGGGGAGCAACATAGGGTAACATACAGTGGATGTAAGAGTTGTGGAAATTGCACAAGTGAAAGTGTTAAACAACATGAGTTATGCAGAGGCAGTGAAGAAGGTCCAAGAGCAAAGGAGAAGTGCATTACAGTTATCATTAACGTTCATTATTATCGTTATTGCTACACTTATTTTTGGTATTATATGTATCATTATCATTAAAGTTACCATTATAATTATTATTGTACTGTTATTATTATAGTTATCGTTGTTCCTGTTGTGAACGAGCTTTACTCTGAAGTGGCAATGAAAGTATGACACTGTATGATGAAACATTCCTTTTTTAATGTCCTTAAAGCATCAAACATGTAAAACACAAACACATCAGCGTAGCATCAGTCAAGAGTTCGTGAGTTTAGCGCTGCGCCGGTCGATTAATCGCTACTATTCTCCCGCGAGTCTGGCGTTCATCAGTCCTGGTTGCGCTCGTTCTGGCCCGTCCGTTTGCGTCTCTGTGCTTTGGTGGATTTTGCCTTCCGCAACTTCTTGTTGTGAGTGAATGATGACGACTTCCAGTCGCTCTGATGGTTTCCCCGCCTCATTTCCTCTTTGGGCTTCCATTTCCTCCTCTTCTTCTTCTGTTTAGAGAGACTGTTCAGTGATGCCGTGAGCCTCTGGATCCTACAGACACAGATAATGAATCAGACACGACTCCTCGAACGAATCATTCAGGAGTCAAGTGACATTCTGATTCAACACGGATCAATATTAATCAATCAGTCAGTACTTTTCAGACATGAGGGGGTGTCCAGCTGTCCTCGGGAGGGCCTGTATTTTTTCACCATCCTTCTCCTCCTCACGCTCTTCATTTCTCTGCAGAAATGACACACACACACACATACACATACACACACTGTTAAGCCTGACAAAGATAAGGACATCTCGAGACAATAGGTTGGTCAAGCAGTGGAAAGCAGCACAAAACTGAGAAATACAATGGATCCAGCTGTGTGTTTAGAACACGAAACGAGAAAAGCACAAATAAATAGAGAGAGTGTAGTGTAGTAGTCTTCTTTGACATAGAGAAAGCGTACGACGTGATGTGGAGAGAAGGGATGCTAATCAAATTATGTAAGTTAGGTATCGAAGGTCAAATGTATAGATTTTTTAACAGGAAGAGCAATAAAAGTGAGAATAGGAAACAGTTATTCAGAAAAGTTTGTGATCGAAAAGGGAGTTCCACAAGGACGTATACTGAGCCCTTTATTGTTTTCCAAAATTATGTATTTGATGGTTTGGATAATGGGCTGGGGTTTTCGCTCTTTGCTGATGATGGGGCAATCTGGAAAAGGGGAAGGAATATCGACTTTATTGTTAAAAAATTGCAGGAGGCTATTGCAATAGTTGAAGAATGGTCATATAGATGGGGTTTTAAATTCTCAGTTGATAAATCAAAGATAACGCTTTTTACAAGGAAAAAAACTGGAAGTGGGGTAAAACTAAAATTGTATAATCAAGAACTGGAAAGAGTGAAACATTTTAAGTTTTCTGGGATATGGTTTGATGAAAGAGTTACATGGGCGGTGCATATAAAAATGATTGCACTATTATTAGCAATACAGTGGATAGAAGAGATAAGACATTTGAAATCAATTGTTTGTTCAGATTCATGTTCATCATTGGCTAGTTGACAGTACAGTCACTCGGAAAGTAGACCAGACATTTTAATGGAAATAATGCAAACGTTATATAGAATTCAAATGATGGGGATTACAGTGGTATTTGTATGGGTGCCGGCGCATATTGGTGTCCAAGGACATGAAACTGCAGATAAAGAAGCAGCTAAAAACAACGGCATTAATGGGATAAGGAGAAGAAAGGTCGGTGGTTTTACAGAATACAAAGGAAAGTGGGAGAGATGAGAAGTGCAGGGAAAAACAGGAGAGATGAGATAGTAATATCGAGGATGAGATTTGGACACACAAGATTAAATAGTGCACTTTATAAAATGTGTAAACATGATACGGGAAGGTGTGAATTTGGTGGACAAGAAGAAACAGTGGAACATGTTATACTGCACTGTCAGAAATACGAGACTGAAAGAAGGATTCTAGTGCAAAAAATACAAATGCAATTTACACCGAGATATATTTGACAAAATAACTCAAGGAATGAATGCCATAGTTTTATTTTTCAGTTCCTTTAAAGTAAGTCATTTTGATCCACACTCCATACCAGCTGGTGGCGGAAATACACCATTTTGTTGTTTGTAAACCACCAATAAAATTTCAAGAAGAAGAAGAAGAAGAAGAATCTTATTCTAGTTCTAGTATTTCTGAAGTGAACATCATGCCTGAAGCAGCGAAGTCCGCGCCCAAGAAGGGCTCCAAGAAGGCCGTCACTAAGACCGCGGGTAAAGCAGGGAAGAAGCGCAGGAGGAATAGTTCAGTTTTGTATGTAATGGCAAAGTGATTATGTTTCGTTGAGTTTTTTTAAGGTAATTTAGCAAAACGTTTGGAGCATTTTTTGTTCGTTAAATATAAGTTTTAGTTTTTTTACAGTAACGACCAAGCGGCCAGCGGCAGACAGCGAGCCTATGTTTGATCAATTTAGCCTTCTCAAATCATCACGACCTGCCTAAAATAAAATCTATAGATATAAAACAGTTCAAGCATATCACAATGTTAGTTTAAAC